TCTCGAAAAGTGACAACCTGATTTGCACGTTATACTCTTACTTACGGGCTCCATGCGCACTAACCCGTAAAAAGTTCCTACCAGAACGAAACATATACGTGGCTGTTCAATGGATAAGTTAAGTTTCTCTTGTTTCTCCAAACTTCCAGCGACACTATTTACACTTTTCAACTGCGCCTGCTATAAGCATTTTCTAAACCCCTGCCAAAAAATCACAGCTGTTCATTGATGACTCGCATTCTTCTCAAGCTATCCGCTTGTTTCACTCGTTGCATTTCTGGCGTCTTCTCTGTTTGTGTACGCCTTGAGGTTGCCACAGGCTTCACGCTTGTTGTGTAAGCATGAGCTGCTTACACTTTTCTAGAGCCTCGAATACGGTACAGTGTGTTTCGATGTGGTGGTGTGGACAAGAAAAATTGTCCAGGCGAAAGCCTTCCGGACCTGATGCCCCTTTTCAACCGGAATATTTCATTGTTCTTCGCAGAGCATAATGTGAAATGGCGATGTTTATTATGTTGCATGTTGCGAGGCGCCTTTGAGAACGCAATGCGTACGAGCTCGCACAGCCGATACTTGATGTCGACATATACAGGTACCTTTAGAGTAAGGTACCGGGCTCAGACAGCTATGTTTAGCGCCAAAAGTTTCCATAATGTTACGTTGTATGAGACTCGATGGCGTCTAAGGTATATGAGGAGTTCTGGACAGAGGTACGGGAAATTTAAAGCAAACTTTATCTGACGTTGCGCAAGCCTGCAAATGATGTCGAGACTGACGCATGCATTTTAATCACAAAGCCTTTCTTAGAAAATTTAGGTACTTTGAGGATTTATATCTACTTATCTATCTATAGCCCCCTACACCTAAGTGCTTTCGTTATCACCTCTTTTACTTGAAGGCCAAAATTAGTATGCGAAGGTGAGACAATATAAAAAATATGACTGTCTTCGCGAAGCATAATGTGAAATGGCGATGCTCATTATGTTGCAGAACATTACCAACGAGAAAATGTGTTTCACGTACATCATCAAACCTTTGCCTCTAGACACGTTTAGCTCGCCCGTATATGACGGGTTACGGTACGTGGTTATGCGCCACAAGTTATTGACAGCTTATAGGAAATCCGGACCGGCGAACACAGACCTTAATACCTTAAATGTCAGAGCGTTAAGAGAAACTGACTTGTATAGCGTATACAAGATGAATGCAAAGATAAAAGTCTAGGATCTCAGCAGGAATCGCACTCAAGCGTTTAGCGTGGCCATCAGATGTTCCAACACAGAGCCATGCCAGGTCTTGTAACTGTATTGGAAACAGCTCGGTGCGACTTTAATTGGGATCGCAGTGCAGACAATATAATTTTATACCAAATAAATACGCATATCATACGCAAGCCTATGAAACAGATGTAGCGCCTTGTTATTATAAATTATGGTTTCAATCTTGAATTCATTTCATAGCAGTGTTATAGACTTTCCTTTTGTATTCCTAGGATTTAGCAAGCTATATTCGGGCGTTGCTCGACTACGGAGGGACGCGTTAACGATGCATATAGTCACGCAGTAAACCGAATATCGCTTACGTGATACTGACATTTCTTACGTAGGTGTTGAGGTGACGTTTTATCAGCACGCTTTGGGCATCTCGATCCCAAAAGATTACGCATTTTGACCAATAACACGTGCCTTGAGGGAGTGAGTATCTTCGGTTAATCTAGTACTTCTTTCAGCGTTGTCACTCGTACAAAACAAATCAGCTTATCTATAAGAACGCACATGGTCTTGGGCACACACGTCAGAAGACGCAACTATCGCAAGGTGTCGCCTCGCAGAGCAAAGCCTCTCAGAGCAAAGCGATGACAGCGATGGAAACGAAGCCGGCATTCAGTAACTACCGAAAGGGCAAGAACAAAATAAGGTGGGGTAGGTTTTATGATAATTCAACGGGAAGCTCTTTAATGTTCGAAGCGAGATCGGGTTGCCTTAAAAAACGTAGTTATAAAGCAAGATTCAATAAAGAAAAGGAACAACGTACACGCGGGGGGGGGGGGGGAGCTAGAAAACAATGGAACATGTTCTGATTGAATTCGGGGATATCTACCCAGGTACACGTGCGGGTACAAGCCTGCATGAGGCTTTGGGTCTTAGGGACAAGCATGGAAAGCTGCACACGTCTGCGATAGGAGCAAGTAAAAGACGGTTAGAGTATCGGGGGCAGAAAAGTAGAGATAAAGGACAGAAATATCGGGAGAATGAAGTCATCCTGCCTGTAGAAGAAAATAGATAGAAGATGAACCTACATTTTTCTTTTCTATAATAAGATCTATTTATTCGAACTAGATCAGGCATTAGGCCAACATAAAAAAATAGTTTTCTTTTTTTGCGAGCCTGGTGGCACATATGTGACCATCCCGTTATAAAGGGGACGCTCATAGCATCCATCAACCTATCCGGCTGCCCGCACGCTTTGCATATACGGGGATGCGGCTGTACAGTCCTTAGCGATTGAAAGTCCATATAGGAGCCCATGGTAGCTGGCCGTGAGGGCGAGAGCGTTAGTGACGCATAGGGATTGCGTCCTCTAAGCAGATGTTCAGTCTTTTTTTCTCAGTTGCACCGGAGGAGCAGTGCAATCCTTCGTAAGACACACCCGTAACGCAAGCTGCGCTCTGTAAGCGAGGCCTCCAAAACCACAGACTGAACGGATGTCTACCGTATTCCATCAGCATGCGTAACGAAGGCTCTCAGCCCCACCATGATCCTCACAGACAGCTACCACGTGCTTCTAGTATAGCTTTCGCTTAACACATGTATGACCCTTTTAACCAAAAGGGCAGCGCGTGCTACCGAGATGGCGATATGCGGTAGCGACGCGAAACTCATTCGAGTGATCGGTCACTCTTGCGTCGCCAAAAGCAATAAATTCAATGATTCTCGCTTACTTCAAGCAGGCGAAGGATGCCAGGATCAGCGCTGCCCGTCACAACGGCACAATGAAAAATTATCTTGACGCCTATGACTTTTTAGGGCATTGCGGCCGCCATTCTCTAAGAGCCTAACGTTTCGCTACACACGCGCACTGGCTCAGCCTCTCCGTCTGCCTACATACAATAATATCCGGGGTTTCACTTCTGAAAACCCCACCATGATTATGAGAGACACTGTGGTGGAAGGCTTCGGAAATTTTGATAATCTGGTGTTCTTTGACGCTCACTGACGTCGCACAGCACATGGGCGCCTAGGATTTGTTTCATTGAAATGTGACCACAACCCAGGGATGAAAATCTCGACCTTTGGATGAGCAGCCACCTACCTAACTTGTAAAGTTATTGCGTAATATACGAAAAGTGTAAGGGACCGAATTTTTTCTTATGTGTTACTTTTGCAGTGCGTTGTAAAATAAGGTTCACTATCACTGGGGTCTTATTGTAAAACTCTTTGACATGCTCTGCACAAATACTTTCAACTGATTCTTCTGATTACACACTAAGTCATGTAAATATGCTTGGCGCTGCTGTGCGTGCTATTGTATAACTTTTTCTCTCTTTTCTTCTTTCCTTATTTATTCTTTTCCTCGCATTTTCCCCTACCTCCGTGTAGGCAAGCAAACTGGGTGCAACCTGGTTAACCTCTCTGCCTTTCAATTCAATTCAATTCAATTCAATTCTTTATTTGCAAACTGTCAAACATACAGAAACATAATGACTGATTGGACCCATAGCCGAAGGCTAGTTCTCTTTCTTTCTTTAGGCATCTTTAAAGACACACTGCGTCACCTAGAGAAACCTTGATTTGACAGTGATATAAGTTTCTTGAAGGAACTAGAAGTTACGGGAATAGTAAGTGCCGTTCACAAAGATTTAAAATGACGCTCAAGAATAAGCAAAATTATTCCAATTGTTCTTCTTAAACATTACAATAAGATTTTCACCATCTCCCACTAAAAGGATCCATGGGGAGATGCGAAGCTGCGCTGGTGTTTACTTGTGTTTCTTATGTACTTTTAATATTTGTATGTTTCCTTGTATGTTTAATTTGTGTGTAGAGGTATGTATATGTTGTGCACCGCTGATGTTACTCCCCCCCTCTCAATTGTTTGTATTACCATGTGTTTGCCGCAAAGTGAACACCCAGGTGTGCTAGGAGAGTGCAGCGTAGTGAGCACGTGCAGCAACGAGCCCACAGCTGTGACAGAGAGCGAAACGGGAGAGCAGAAACGAAGTGGAGGGAGCGCTCTGCCACTTCTCACATTCTCACGCCCACGCAACGAGAGAGTGGGAGTTGGCGCATGCTCAGTGAAAGAGTGGACAGTCACCGAGGGACGGACACAGCTCCGAGAAAAAGCTACTTTGAATCTGAAACAGTACTAGCCTCGAACGGAAGGCGAACCATTAATAGAGAGAGCAAGATTACTGTCAATCATTTGAGGCGCAGGTAGGACAATAGCCGGCTGCATTCCAGGCTAGCCCCGCCTACTTCAATATCACCACAGCCACTACCACCACCAGCTCCACAGCAAGATTAGAGCCTTGAAATTGGGCTCTTGAGTCGGCCTTCAAGCCATAAGCGTTGACGTAACGTAATACGCAAGGCAAACCTTGCGCAGTAGATGTTGGAGCCATAAACACCGCGCAGCGTTAGTTTAGTCAACAGCAACACCAGCAGTGATATAGCTGTCTAACATGTGTGTTGCACAAGATGAGATTGATAGGAAACTGTCAACGTAGTCAAAACACGAAAACGCAATAAGCATCTGCACACGTTGGCTTGTTCCGGACGTCAAGGCATGCGTCTGGGGCCTTGTATGTGTGCCTGGGTGGCCTCAAAACTTTATACTGGTGTGTACAAAAATATAAGCAAGGGGCCATGTAGTCCTGTTGACGAATATCTTTTTTGTCATTGAGGCTGCTCGTGTAATTTTGATTTAGTTATTTCTAGTTTGCATTATTTTAATATTGGGAGCTTTGGCAGCTTTTTTTTTTCCTGCTGACTGTACCTTACCTTGTTCTCGTCGAAGACCCGGAAAATCAGCGAAGTAAACTTAGAAGGATCTCCCTGGGGGAAGAAAAGCTTGTATATCCTCAGGAATCCCTGCGGTAAGAAAGGTCGTTTGTGAATGCAAGTGGCTTGAAGAGAGCACGCAGCAAACTTAAAGTAATTAAAAAATAAGAATCATGCACTAGGCGCAACAGAAGATTCATCCACGAAGGCTTACTGAAAACGTTAGAGTTGTAGATTTTTTAAAATAAAAAGTGGCAGTGTCACCACCAGGGGGAAGCAATGAACGCGATAGCAATACGAAGCGAGGGTGGCAGCCAGCTCTTTTGAATCCTATCTCACGCAACTCAGTAAAACACTGGTGAAAGAGGGTACGGCCACTCCGAGGCACTTTTTGCACACTCTATTTCGGTGAAGTGCTTAGCACGTAGAGAAATACATGAGCGGCCCGTTGATGTCAGTACATATAGACAGATAGTGGGAATGCCACCGATGGCGACCACGCCCGTAAAATCATAGTTCATTGTTGCTGCTCGAGCATGCTGACTCCTTGCGTCTCCTCATGCTTGTTAAATACGCGCGGGGTGTTTCTTTACTGCTTGAGCATTCGACGGCCTGCCTAACGGGTGGGGAAATTTTATCGCGTCCAACCCCTTAACGACAGAGATGGACTGGTTCGTTTGATCTTTGTTTCAGCCATGTTCAGTGTCTTCGCTAAAGCTCTATTACCCGCGCTAGAACGTACGATCTGGTGGGAGATGTTATCATTTCGCACTTGATACAAGGCATGACAGTGACGGCGAAAATTCGTCGAGACTGTCCACACAATCGCTATCAAAGTAAAAAAATATCAATAGAGATGCACAATTTTCACTGCGTCTCGTACAGAACAGTATCTCCTGACTGGCGACATTATTACCTGAATTTACATCAAGAAATTTCACATCCTCAAACTGCCAGCAGTGTCCGAAGCGTGGTGTAATGAAGTGCCCCGAAATATAATTGGCAGCGTATAGAATACATTAACGCTCACCGAGTAGAAAGTACACGAATGTTACTGTTTCTGAATTTTTGATCCATTGCAATTGAACACACGGCCAAGTACTTATGAGCTGAACGCCATAGACTTCAAGGGGCTGCAGCTTGGAGTAAGAGGGTTGACGAACGTAGTTACTTATTTTTTGCGGTCACTTTCAAAGAGCCTTCCATTATCGTTCTCACACGCTTGCGCCTAATTAACGAGTCATTAAGTCAACTTTAGAACCTCCGACTTATGAGATACATTATCATGAGGTGTTTTTGTAATAGAATGATGTCACCATATTTTTTGAACTTCAGAAGACAATGAAGTGAAGCTCATAAACCCACGCTGTTTCAAAACAAAAAGTTGTATTTTCACAGTCAAACAAACCCTCCTCAGTTCATTTTTTCTATTCTTAAAAGATATTTTGCACCAAATCAAATTATGGCCTTCATCATGGTTTTAGATCTGTCGTTATAAAAAACAGTAGTACCTCAAACAACCTAATGCGTAAGGGCCACATAAGCAAGGTCCTTTCAGACTTGCTGGTCTGTGAATATATGATGATGGAAAAGAAAAACACACTTGTAGTACACGATAGTCAAAATAATGTCAAGCCTTTCACTACAGCATTCATCACACCTAAACATGCTGCATAGAGGACGAGAAAAACCACAAGTTGTAACAAATACACATAGAAGAAATAATCCGACTGTTCCTGCTGTGCGAGTACAAAACGACAATATATTTTGATGGGAAATGATCAAGTATTAAATCTCGAGTACCCAGCCAGAGTGCTTAGAGCTTATGTATTGAATAGATGAAAGGCACGTCCATTTTTCATGGCGTGAGATTCAAGATGTGAACACAGAAGCACCACGCAATCAAGAACGTTCCTAATGTTAACGCCCGTAAAGCTGTTGAGGTTGATAAAGCTTCACTACCAAGCATTGTTTTTCACACTGTCCTAAATAAAAGTCTCACTTTCCATATGTACCTCGTACGTTTGGTATAGGTTTTTATCGATGGACGTATTTTTCGTGTAGAGGAATACGTCATATTTTATATATGAGTCATTCCAGGCCAAACATCCCAACCACTTTAACGACCATCTGAAATGTAGTTGAAAAAAATTTGCTGATTTACTGCATTGAAAACAGTGAAATGATAAAATATTTCAGAGAGAAAAAATTTTTTTCACGTGGCTGCCTTCTGAACTTCACGGAATGTCATATGGGTGGTGTTTCTGGGAAAATTTATTTTAAAAGTACCGCTCCTTCTTTATATACCATGCATGCATGCATGCTTGCTTGGTCTACAAGTTAAGTAAAGATGCTTGTGTAATATTTTTGAAGCTCAGCACTATTAGTTCTATTTTACTGGCACATACGCCTCCAAGAATTTAGCCAAATTGTGTTATGTTTGCATTTTGTCTACTATTATACTGCACAATTTATGAATATCTAAGAAGTAAATACCTACTACAGAGCAAGTATATTTTGAGAAAAAATATGTTTAAAACTTTCAAGCTGCTAAACGGCGTTTGAAAAAAAATTGACAAATTTTACAAAATTGTCATTCTTAGCCAAATAGACACGCAATTTGCACCGTGTGGTGGTTCAATTAAAAATAACATTTATACATAAATTGCAAGCAAATAAACAGTTCTTTTCGTATGGCGAGGTTTATCATCACATTTCTTTTTTTTTAAGGAAGAAAACAATTTTTGAACTTTTTCCATTGACGACAAAGAGGAATTTTAAGGCGGCAGCTGTCGTATGACCAAATGAAAAGATAGTCGCTAACGGGAACGTTCTAAAGAGTTTCCTACCTTAAAAGAAAAATTATAATGATAAGGGTTTTCATGTAAAAAAATTGCTTATTTGCTTTTGATAATGTATGAAGGTAATTTTCAATCGGACCACCACACGGTGCAAATTGCGTCTCAATGAACAAAAATAACCATTTTGTGAAATTTGTGATTTTTTTTGAAAGTTTAGCAGCTTGAGAGGCGTAAAATAGTTTTTTTCCAAAAACATACATTCTGCGGAGTAAGTATTAGCTACTCGGACATCCATACAAAGTTCAGTATTGTAATAGAACAAATGCAAACTTGACACATTTTGACTGAATTCTCAGAGGCGTATGTGCAAGTAAAATTAGACTAATATAACTTAGCATCAAACACGTTACACAAGCACCTTTACTTGACACGTGGGAAAAACTTGGCATTGAAAAAAGGAAGGCTATTTTTAAAATAATTTTGTCTACCAAGAACACCCAAATGAAATTCCAGGAAATTCAGAAGGCAGCCACGTGACCAAAAAATGTTTTCTCTTCGAAATATTTCTGCAGTTCACTGTTTCCAATGCAGTAAATTAGCACAACTTCTTTTAATACATTTGAGATGGTCACCAAAACACCTGGGACGTTTGGCGTAGAATGGCCCATCTGCGCAAAACGCATTCTCACGCATTCATCAAGCTTGTAATAGTGTGCCAGTTGAATTCTTATGCTGATCAGCAGAAAGGGCAACCTGGATTCGAACAGACTTCCACGAGCAACGTGGAAAGGTCATCGTTTCTTGTAAAGACAGCGTTTGCGCTTTGTTAGGGGGTGAATGCACAAACCCTGCCTTACATAAGCACGAAACGAATTCGGACAATGCGTCTGAAAAAGCAAAAAGGCTAAATAGTGGCTAAAAACGAATTACCCTGACGAAATGAATAATTCTCGCAGGACGTGTATTCCTTCAGATTGCACGGAGAAATAACCCAGCGTGATGGCTACCAAAGCACAGCTTGCGCGTCTTTTGAAGCAATGTCAACGCACAACTTTTCAAAGAACAAGCCCATTTTACCTAGGTAAACGATTTCTGGAGCCCACTTAGAAAGCGTGAGGGATACTGAAACAAGAGGTTGTGCAATCTGCCTTTCACGAGTGCATTTCGATGGCAGTGGTTGCATAACGGCAATATTCCGAGTCAAGCACATGTCTCCAAGACACTGCCAAGAATTCAACTGGAATGTCAAGCAAAAGGAGAAAACAAGACAGTGCGCACACTATGTTGTTGGAGGGCGTAGCCTAAATAAGCAACAGTGTCTGAGATCTTTTGCGTATTTTTGTATTGTGAATGCGTAAGTTGATGCAGGTGAAATGAATTGATTAAATGAATCGGCCACCCGTTGGTTGGTCGACCTTATCTATCTATCTATCTATCTATCTATCTATCTATCTATCTATCTATCTATCTATCTATCTATCTATCTATCTATCTATCTATCTATCTATCTATCTATCTATCTATCTATCTATCTATCTATCTATCTATCTATCTATCTATCTATCTATCTATCTATCTATCTATCTATCTATCTATCTATCTATCTATCTATCTATTCATCTATTCGTCTATCTATCTATCTATCTATCTATCTATCTATCTATCTATCTATCTATCTATCTATCTATCTATCTATTTATCCGTCTACCTATACGTCCGTCCGTTCGTCCGTCCGTCCGTCCGTCCGTCCGTCCGTCTGTCTGTCTGTCTGTCTGTCTGTCTGTCTGTCTGTCTGTCTGTCCGTCCGTCCATCCGTCCATCCGTCCGTCCGTCCGTCCGTCCGTCTGCCTGTCTCAACATTTACAGATACTTTTTCAGTTTCCGAACACGTCACTTCGCTGACGGGGAGCAGGCGGCCGGCTACAGCTCCCACCCCCGCGTCTCTGCAGTCGAACTTTGCACCAAGCAAAAGAGGGTCGCCTGCTACAGCTAGGCACGGCGTAGCCGGTGTGCAGCATTCACACAACGATTTCATGCGAAAAGCCCCGCACCGCTACTTATTGTTTTAGGCACTAGCAATATAACGTCGGGCCTGAATGCGTGTGCGGAGTTTTTCCGGCTTCCTGGTAAAAGTAGTAGCTAGCGTAAGCGTGCTGCTGGTCGAGAATTTGTCGATTAAAGAGCTGATAGATACGTGGCGTTTAACGCTCCAAATCCACCATATGATTATGAGAGACACCGTAGTGGAGGGCTTCAGAAATTTTGACCACTTGGGGTTCTTCACCATGCACCGAAGTCTGAGCACACGGGCCTACAACATTTTCGCCTTTATTAAACATGCAGCCACCGCAGGCGGCATTCGATCCCGCTACCTGTGGGTCAGCAGCCGAGCACCTTAGCCACTAGACCACAACGGCGGGGCATCAATTAAAGAGTCGTTTTGTCAACTTGTAACTTCTTGTTCTTCCATGTAGTACAAGCAAAATTATTATAGAAGCTGCGTCTAAACTAAGCCTCGGTAAAAGCTGTAACTCATCTGGTTCCAGCTTAGTTGTTTAGAAGCTATTTTCGCAAGTCTTAGCATAGGAATCTTCGACACTGTGCACATTGACTTTGCGCAGCGATAAGCACCTCGGCGGGCCATACTCGAAAGGAAGTTGAAACCAAGCTTTTGCTGTGAGGTATCAGCCACGTTTAATATCCCAGTGAAATGACGCCATTTATCTGTTCAGCTGGTTTGAACCAATTCACTTTCTTCTGAAGTATTCAGATTTATGGGTGCCTATATGTGGATAATAGTTGTGATCATCCAAACAAAAGATCAACTCTTTTGTGAAAATACGAAAAACATCACTGTGTTGACACAAGAACACTTGTCATGATCACACACTAGTTTAAAAGTATGTTGTGTTTTACTTATGAAAAAGAAACTGCATCTAATGTACATTTGTCACAAGCATTCAAATTTCACACAAATCCTTCCTGTAACATTTCAGGCTTGCGAGCAGCAAACAAAGAATGAGACAATCTATTGTGTACATATACCCGTTAAGTGGTCTTGCTTTTTGTTGTATGATGGATGTACTATGAATGGACACTTTCTGCATTTGAGGTAAATTTTAAATGAGATCATATAGAGTCGTTGGAGATGCAGTCTTCAATTTTTTTTTTTCACTCAGCCAGCGTACCTAGAGCTTTCTCCGTTCTCGAGTGGCGGTGGCACAGATCAGACATTTCGTACCTAGAGCTTTCTCCGTTCTCGAGTGGCGGTGGCACAGATCAAACATTTCCTTATTTCGCTGGTGGCAATCTGCGGCTGATTCTTGGTTGTTTTTGCCATTCTTTTTTTCTTCAGTGTTCTCACTAAAATGACACAAGACACACATACCAGTGTCGGCACCAGTTAGGCCCACACTGTCCTAGTGATGAATATTTCTTTGCGATGCACTTTCTCTTTTCACTGTGTCAACAGGCGGAAAACGGAGCCTATTATAAGAGGGTAAACAGCACAACATACATGACGGCCTTTATATCTTTGAGTGACCGCATTGGCATATCAAAAAGTAACTTTTCTAGCAATTTTCCGTTCACCGAAACCACGTAGGTTAAATTCTCGCGAATGGCAGTGCTCTTGAGAATGCAGTAGACGTATTCTTTGTATTATGCATAACAAAAAACTAATATCGGAAGTTTTCCGCCTCCTGAGGGACAGCCGAACTCTAGTTGCAGGGAGGCTGAATTGAAGCACATTTTTTTCCTCGATCACTCAAAAAAAAAAACTGGTCTCCTCCGAAGGAGCGGGTACCGGTTGCAGAGATTGTTCTGGCAGATTGCAAGGCAGCAGCAGTTGGTTGACGTAAAGGTACCCTTTCTTTGGCAACCTTCGTCTTTTGCGGCTGGGTGATTTGCAAATAAACAAGAAACTGCATCACTCCTCAACGTCTATGCATCTTGCTCATTTTTAACTTGACCATTTGATGATGTGCTTATATGTCTTCAGAATGTCGCTTTCTTGAAAGCGAACATAATCTACCTTGGGCGTCTTTTCCAAACTTTTGTCCGCGTGTTAATAAATCTTTACCACTTTAGCAGCAACAGCGGGTCAGACGGTGGAGAGAAGTGGTGTTTTTCGGAGCTTCTCTTGTACCTGATGGCGCCCATACACAAAATAGATCGCTGTTATGTCTGGAAGGTCTCAGCTCTGGCGCACGGGATAGAAGCAACAGTAGAATCAATCTCGGGAGACGCACACACGTGCTCGGTGCGTCCACACGTGGTCGACCGTGCCCACAATGTCAACAATCGGAAAGTTTCTTACATCGTATATATCTGAGTGGCTTCGTGAGTGTAGACACCTAGTTGTCTTCAGTAGATTGTGTAAGCATGTCACGTGAACAAAAAGTGACGAGATATGCACAAAGAAGAAAAATTGAAAAAGTCACAGCGTTGCCGCAAAGGCGAAGCAATGAATGCGATAGGAGCAAATTGGAAAGTCACACACAGAATGGCAAGCAGATATAATTGTGCCCCGCGCTTTTAGTGCACAAATGACGCACGGAACGTACTCACAGATACATATGAATGCGAATAAGTGCCACAGTTGTTACTTCACTGTGTCCAAAAAGCGCGCCCTTTTCGTAAACGGAGGCTGGGCAACAATTGCAGTGACCGTTGTGGGCCCTGTAACTACAACAGAATCGTTCCAGTGCAAGCCAAACGCCAGCCAAGCCGTGTGATCCTCCCCACCGGGAGATAAGGGCGCTCGAGAGATCGGCCACTCCCTTCCTTTTCGCGGGCCAATGTACGCGTGAGAATCCCGGCTGCGGCGGCTGCATTTCCGATGGAGGCGGAAATGTTGAAGGCCCGTGTGCTCAGATTCGGGTGCACGTTAAAGAACCCCAGGTGGTCGAAATTTCCGGAGCCCTCCACTACGGCGTCTCTCATAATCATACGGTGGTTTTGGGACGTTAAACCCCACATATCCATCAATGTACGCGTGAGAGATGAGAGCCGCCGCGCGCTCATTGCGCCATCTTGCTGATAATGCTGACCAAAGATAGTCTTCCTCTTCGCCCCCCGAGAGGCCTGCGAACAGCGGCAAATGGTAGATATAAATAGCTTGCCATTTGAGCGTTGAAGAAGGTGTCCCTCGATGGCTCAATGGTTAACGCCTTGCATTCGCGACGCGGGGGTCCCACGTTCGATTCCGCGTGTGGGAGCCTTTTTATAGATTTTATTCCTTCTAGCGTTTTCGTATATATAGATACGTATACATATACTGTGAGTGACCGCGAAGCCAACGCCTGTGGCAAAATCCAACTGATAGTGTTCATATAATTGCTATTCCAATAGAAGAAAAAAAAACATTGGCCCTGTATCTACATATGCGATTCACTGCAAATGTCGTCGAAAGACGATAATATTGCCTGTGGAGATAGTGATCAAAACGTTTATTTGATGTTCTGTGCTAAAAAATTGGTCAATTGTATCCTGGAACCGCTGCGTTAGAAAGTCTCAAACAGTGCAGCGAAGGCGAACGAGCGCACCGAGGCACGTTAGACACGAGCGCCATCTGGCAGTCATCTTCGAAAACGAAGGAAGGCGTGCGTGCCCACGGAGAAAGATGCGCGCCTGTCTCGGAGGCGATAAGGTGTACAACGCAAAGCGATGGGCAGCTGCCACCACCGTGTCATGTTAGCAAAGCGTTGGAAACACTTGACTTTTTGAGCATCGCGTTGCCCTGTCAGAACAGCGTGATAAACACTACGGTCCTTGGAATTACTTGTGTGTGCCTCCTCTAGTATAAAGGCACATATACAAAACATTGACGTGTTGTTATGATGCCTCAGATATGCGCAATAATTGCTTTTGAATTGACACTCACACAAGTATGAACACTGAAACTTGAGCAACATTGGTGGGCGCTGCGGATCGGGTTGGCCGTTTGACATATCGTTGGGTGTCGTTCAAGATATCGTTAGCGCAGACCAACAGACAAATGTAGAGACAGGCAGGCACACTAAAATTTTGGCGTCGAAGGTTCGCAAGAAAGGCTATCGTCTTTAAAAAAGCGCCACCGAACACCAGCACGTAACGCGCGAAACTGCAGCGGCAGTGGAGTCAGCCAAGAGCAGCCGGTTGCTTAGTGCAAAGTTCGACTGCAGCGTCTCCACTCTCCCGAAAGCAAATCGCGCCCGGCTCGCGAGGAGGAGTTCGGAAACTGAAAAAAAGTATCTATTAACATTGTGCCGGTCTGTCTATCCGTCTGCCTGTATGTTTGCTGTCTGTCTTCATCATTTTCTTCATAACTACAGGCTCTGAAAGATTTGTATTCTGTTGTATATGCAAAGTAAAAGTCACACAACGTAAAACACAAGGACGTAAAATGCCATAATCATTTTAAATTCGATAGTGCGTCCATAAGCTGTAGCTATATGTAAAAAAAGATAGAACTCAATCGTCATATTGAGGAAATTTGTTACCAAAAATGGACAATCGGCATCTGTGAACGCGAAGTTTTGTGACTTCGGGCATTGATTTGGTGAGCAGAAATTGCTTCAATGTGACGATAGGTAGCGTACAAGAAGCAGGACAGTGAGCACAGCCACTCACGTGCATTTTCAGAGACATTACAGTGTAGTAGCCGGTTGAAGGATAGATATAAATGTAAAATTATCGCTATGCACTTACATGACCGTTCTTGTGCATACTAGTCATCGCCTATCGGGAAATAATTAGCATAGCCTTACGAATCTTCGGAGGGAATGCCAGACATCTTAAATTTTATTGCGATGGCTTTGTACCTAAACGAACAGTATGCTATAGTTAGTTTATCTGAGCTGCAAATCAAGTAGTCGTGTTGACTTTCGCTGAATATTGGTATCCGCTTTTAAGTTGTGCGAAGTTGCTTCTGTTCAGCTTGTAATCTAGCTTGTACAATCCGCCAATCTGTTTTATTAGTGTAATTTCATGTTTTCTGAATATTTCTTTGCACAACGCAAATATAATGCAAAAGCATCAAAGCACTAGTATGAAGGATAAAAGCTCAAGTTGAAGCAACGCCCCAGACACCATGCTTACCTGCTCAGTGAGATGTCCTGAAGGACAGTCTTTGACAAAGCCCTTGTACCTGTGTGGAGACAAAAGTGACAAGAGTGGGGCAGACTGAAATGGTATAATGAGCTCCGCCGGAGTAACAACCTGCTGAACACGGGAACGTGCTCTTCTTAAGAAAAGTGCCCTATAATACGTTATGATGATTCCGCGATAAAATCAATCTCGTCTGGCAGCTACTTCCATACCTAAACGCCAAATTAAAGAATTCAGTTATAACCCAGTATTGAGAGTTTCTCAGTTCTGGGATCACGTGCAGTTTGTGTGCCCGATTCCCCCCAAAATTCTAGTGTTATTTTTATTTTGAGGTGTTACTTTAGTGTCCGCCTATAAGGCGGTTATAGCTTTTTCTTTCGTTTATAATGAAGCATTTAGAGCAATTTCTCGAAAAACTTAAACAACCGAACAATCTTTGAAGCTAAATCTTTGCAAAAATGCATTCCTAACCCTTCTCCTGGAGCGCTGAATTCAAATTATTGTAAGAACGTACTTCATGACAACACGTTTTCCCCATACAATTAAAATAATCGTTGAGGTAGAGGTTTTTGTGGTTTGTGCATCGTTTGCTTAAGTTGGAACATTGTTTTGGTCCAAACAGTTTAAAGTAGTTAACGAAACTTAAAGTCAAAATTGAAGGGTTTGATTTTTTTTCTTGGGCAAAATGCTCATGAGAACCAGCAAAAAATGACGCCAAGGAAAGTATAGGGCATGTTATTAGTAGTAAATGTAATGTAATTCTCAAGAAAGAAAAGTGGACGAAAAGACAACTTGCCACTGGCAGGGACTGATCCTGTGACCTTCAGTTATTTTATGTTCCCCTTTATTTTCTTCACGTTTTGTGCAGCTTCATGGTTCAGTGCAGCTGTATGGTTATCATTCGTGAGCTGAAGGCTAGCTTAGAGAACTGGTAGAAAGCACACGCGCTGCTTTTTACAAGAAAAGTACATGAAAGTTAGCGCTACCCTTTGACAAATTTATTAATCGAAACGGTCATTTGGTGATATGTGTACCTAAATGCTCCAAATGTACAATTTGATGTTGCACTTTAATTTCGCAACCAATGGGACCTTGAAAACAAAAGAAATTCATGGCGCCATCAATACGAACAACCTCGTCAAGTAACAAATGAATGCTTATGTGTCGACGTTCGTAAGTGAACTATGCCACGTGTCAGCTGTAGCCACCAATAATACGTTTAGCCTCAACATGACTTGAAATGAGCCATTTCAAACAATTATGACGCAAGACCTTCATGTGAACCTTACACATGGTGTCTCGGTGTTAGACTATCTGCACTTCTTGTTGCACCCTGCATACTGATTAATTAAAGGCTTATCACTTGAGTCTTTCTTCACCATCCTTGTGTTTCCCCTACTTGTAAATGTCCTTTAATAAAAGAGCAGACAAGCCTTCCCTTGTAACTCATTAATTCTCATTAGAATGCATGCCCATGACAAAACACACACACACACAACACACACACACACACACACACACACACACAGAGAGAGAGAGAGAGAGAGCGCTGCATTTGTGCAGCACTGGTGCGAAAACATAAGCATGTGAGGGTCCACATACATTTTTCAAGCCTTCAATGAAAGCTTTTTTTCGCCTGAAGTCTGTAGTAACTATTAGTAAAATAGATAAAACAGCACCACGCAAGGTTAGTACCTCTAACTTAGGACCATGTAAGCTTATCTGCGCAACAATAAAAACAAATATAATTTTAAAAACAAACAAAAATATGACGGTGACGACGTCCTCGTGTCATATGTGTTTAGTTTGGTTTGTTTTGTTCTAAGCAATCGCCATGTTTACAAAGAGAGTTCATTTATTGGCTTCCTAACTTTATTAGGTTACACAATTTTGTAGCTCCTATTCTCTCACTAGTGTCATTTGCTGACCGCAAACATTCTCAAATTGGAAAGTTAAATATTTCCTCTGGACTAGAAGATACCAGAAAGTTGAAAATTTCTCGGTGACTTTCCACGAAAATGATCTACAACATTGCGTTATGCACATTCCATTTACGACGCAACAACCTCGCGTGCACCCATGGATCGTGGAAATGGTTGCGTGCGTGCAAAACGCCCGAATGGGCAGAAAAAAAATTGCGAGCCAGGTCTGAAAGTGGCCAGTTTATTACGGAGATTGTGTCCAAGCAGTATGCACAGCCACAGCAAAGCCTAAATTAAAGAAACAGCGCTTGGCGATTCACTCGAGAAAGAAACAATAGCCCCCGGCAATTAATTCGATATTTAGGCGTGTGTTGATGCTAAGCTCATTGGCCTGCATTTGCGAGTCTTAAGACTTGAATCACAGCTTCAATTTTTTGCAGAAGTGAACTTCTCCCTGGAATTAAATTGTTAGAGAAAGTGGAACGAGATGAGAAAGGCTTCTGGACTTACCACTGCCGAATTTCTTTTTCCGTGACTGCAGAGAAATAAAAGAAAAAAAATGAATCAACAAAGTGCAGCTGTAAATATTCAAGTACCTGAGATAGTTTCGTAGTCTAATAATAAAACTTCGCATGCAGAGCACGCGAAAAATGCCTTTTATGTTGTCAGTAATAATAAAAAGTACCTGAGATAGTTTCGTAGTCTAATAATAAAACTTCGTATGCAGAGCGCGCAAAAAATGCCGTTCATGTTGGCAGTAATAATAATTGCGACGTTCAATTCACAATAGAATGGTGAGACACTTCTGCGAGGAGTTTTGCACGGTTGTTACTGCATTTCAATAAAAGAAGCTTTGTTTCTCCAGACTTGAATTCTATCCTTCATTGCATGATCAGTGATTGGAGGCGCGGATCACTTACGCTGCCTGGAGGCACAGTTTCTATCCAATAACGTTGTTTTGCCCGGATAACTTCACTGTCAGGCAGTTATAAAACAACCTTTGAAAAAAAAAAATAAATTCTGCATACAGTATAGTGTACAATAACCTCATATTCAACATGACAATTCGCATGCAGTTTCAACACGAAAGTGTTTTAAGCGGTCCACCACGGCTCCGCTGACGTACTTTCGTCATGTAAGTCACGTTGAAAAATATTTACTCAGAGATTGCAAAAAAAAAACAAAAAAAACACCTGGCCTGCGTGCTAGGCGCAGCACAGTCACAGCGAAAGCTAGAAGAGTGGTCTTTCAGAGCCTTTTGAAAACACTCATTGGGTAACTACTGCAACACACTTGCTTGGTACCCACTAGGGCATCAATAATAAACTTTTGGCTAGTAGGCCGGCATTTGCTATGCTATTTTTCATGATTCGTCTGAGAAGCGTAGTATCCGCTAAACACTTGCAAGAAATTTAGTGCCAATTTTTCACTCAGTCCTGACGACGATTAGAAATTATAGCTGAAGTGGCTATGCGCAACAGTAATAGCAAAAAAAAAACAAGCTTTTGTAATGGGTTGGAGCATTGTACGGCCCACTCTTTATGCTATTCACATCGTGCGTCGACTGGTTCTTCTTTCGCTATTGTAAAACCTTTTATAAGCCATATTAACATGATTGCTTTCCCAAAATCAAGCCTGCCTAAGACAATTTTGACAAGTCACAAGCACCGGTGTAGCCCAGTGGTACAGTACTGGGATGACACCCAGCAAACCCGGGTTCGAGCCCCGCTGTGCCATTCGTGTTGAGTCATGCCTGCCTAAGGCAAGTTCGACAACAAGTTATACTGGCATAACTCAGTGGTAAAATATTGGGCTGGCATGCAGCGGACTCGAGTTCAAGCTCCACTGTGTCCTTGGTGCGAGGTTCTTTTCTTCTAATTTCGCACGATGTGGTTACGGACACTGGCGGTGGTGGTGGCAGCGGACAACAACTGCGCGTAACCCAGAAAGTGATCTCATAACAGCTTTCGCTGTAAAACCAAAAGGCGAAAATTTGTCGCATGGAATCGAACCAGCAACCTTTTGATTCGGAGCTCACGGTGCAAGCTACGACGCTACCCGGCGTACGTTGTCTGGAGGGCTAACGGCATGCCATTTATATACACCACACACTGCTTGGCAGTCCTCAGACCTTCGAAACTTTAGCGCGGTTTTGTTGTTAGTGGAATGATGGCATGACGTGCTTATGTTGCGCTCTCTAAAGGTTGTCGCCTCCACGAAGTGCCGCCTACGCGGAGCGTGGTCTCTCCTGCACGCAAGCGCTTATCATACTCGTAATTCGAAAGAAAATGAAGGTCACCTCACGCGCTGCCGCGGCCTCGTTTCGAAAGAAGCTCGCTGCTGATAAATGACACAAAATAATTGTGGCACTTGCTCGTGGTTGTCTTGTGTATACTTGTGCGCTCGTTTCGTGCGTCTTTCTTTCTGTTTTAACAGCGCGCTTCAACTTACGAACTGTGACCGTTGTTGGTCCGCGCTCATCCGGTGTATGCCAATTTCGTGGGTGATTTCTGCTTGAGGTGTGCGCTGGAAGTTTCGAGCTGCTTGCTGTTCTTAGCGTGGCTTTGCGATTTGTTGCTGGTGCTAAAACAACGCTCAATAGACGATGAACTACCTCTGTAAAGAGACGTTTCAGTTTCGTGTCATACCGATTTTTATGTAGGGGGATCTTGCACATTTCTTTCTTTCTTTCACCCCGCCGTGGTGGCCTAGTGGCTAAGGTACTCGGCTGCTGACCCACAGGTCGCGGGATCGAATTCCGGCTGCAGCGGCTCCGTTTCCGATGGAGGCGGAAACGCTGTAGGCCCGTGTGCTCAGATTTGGGTGCACGTTAAAGAACTCCAGGTGCACAAAATTTATGGAGCCCTCCACTACGGCGTCTCTCATAATCATATGGTGGTTTTGGCAAGTTAAACCCCACATACGAATTTCTTTCTTTCTTTCTTTCTTTCTTTCTTTCTTTCTTTCTTTCTTTCTTTCTTCTTTCTTTCTTTATTTCGTTCTTCTTTCCTTTTTTCTTTCAATCCTTCGATTTTCCTTTTATTCTTTCTTTCTTTCTTTTTGATATGACGAAATAAGCCTGACATTGCGTTCAATGCTTCTCGTTTAGGAGGTAATACCCTTCGAATTGTATCACTTAATGCACGCAGCGTTTTAAGCAAACTAACTCTTTTGGAAAGCCTAGTACTAAACCACAATCCACATATTTTAGTTATTACAGAAAGCTGGTTGCACGAAGGCGTGCTTGATTCTGAGGTTGTCCCCTCCTCATACAAAGTAATCCGCAAAGACAGAACAACAAGAGGCGGCAGAGTAGCGATAGCTATCAAAAAGAATGTGAAGTTTTCCCGTTTAGAGGATATTAGCAACAATGAAAGTGTGTGGTGTCGGATCAATTTCTATGGAAAAAGCATATTCTTGGGCGCAGTGTATCGTCCACCAAACTCTTCCCCTGAATATTTAGAGATTATGCACGACTATGTTGCACAACACACAAATTCACGTTCAAAGATAATTTTATGCGGAGATTTTAATTTGCCAGGAATTAACTGGCCTGAATTGGTTCATGATCACCGAGAGGTAGCAAGTGCGGAATCATTGTTGCTAACAGCGTTTAGTTTCTCATTGTCACAACTAGTATCTAGTGCTACGCGTATTGTAGGTTCTTGTTCATCTGTGCTTGATCTCATGTTTGTAAGTAATTCCCTTGAAAACTGTTGTATAAGTGTTGAAGATGGAATTTCCGACCACAAGATTGTTTCTCTTTCGTGTCCTTTAACACTGGTTCAAAAAACAAACGAATCCAGAGCTACTTATTTCAGGGACTATGCACGTGCAGATCACGCTGCTATCTTCGCCCATTTAGAATCGTCGTTTCCTGTTTTCGATAAAATTAACAACGTGGACGAACTGTGGACATGCTTTAAAGATATCGTAGGTGATTGTGAAGCTCGTCACGTGCCTTTAAAAAGAAAACGCGTTGACTGGGATTATCCGTGGGTGACGCGGGAGATCATACATTTAAAAAGGAAGATTAAAAGGCGACGCAAGGCCGGAAAATATGATCAACTACAAGATCTTATCGCTACACTGAACAACAAAATTCGCAGCACTAAGTCTCGATTCCATTCTGACACGCTTACATCATTCATGCAGTCTGAGCCAAAAAAGTTTTGGCGCTACTTGTCTAAGCAGCATTCTGATATTACCCAGCTCACATCGTGCAACAAAATTATCACGCAACCAGACCAGATAGCCGATGAATTAAATGCCTTCTTTCACTCAGTTTTCGCGCATGGGTTCTCTGGAGCATCTTTACCATCATATCCTTTAATTAACCCCATGCCATAATTGCAGATTAATGAAGAAGGTGTTCAGTGCCTACTCCGCAACCTTGACACTAAGAAGTCTCCAGGCCCAGACAATATTTCAAACACCTTTCTTAATAAATATGCTGACTGGATAAGCCGATATCTACATAAAATCTACACCACTTCAATAGTTACGCAGACAATCCCTAATGACTAGCGCATGGCAAAGATTATTCCAATACATAAATCCGGTTCTAAACTACAATCCAGTTACTACCGCCCGGTCTCATTAACCAGCACGTGTTGCAAGATATTAGAGCATATAATTTTTAAAGCCATTATAACACATTTAGAAACTAACAACCTACTCTACTATAGGCAACATGGATTTCGATCTGGCTTATCGACAGTCACGCAGCTAGCCGAGATTACCAACGACATTGCGAATGCACTGAACGAAAGAGGACAAATAGATGCCGTTTTTTTTAGATTTTGCAAAAGCATTTGACGTCGTTCGCCACCCTGATCTAATAACTAAAATGCATGCAATTGGTATTGAAGATATTATTATTACATGGATAACATCATATCTACACAACCGCAAGCAGTTTGTTGCTGTGAACAACCACACGTCAAACAGCCTGAACGTCCTTTCGGGCGTACCACAAGGATCAGTCTTAGCACCAATTTTGTTTCTTATCTACATCAACGACATTCCTACGGTCATTGACTCACCCGTTCAAATAAGGCTTTTCGCAGATGACTGCGTTGTGTACACAAAAATAAATCGAACTGAGGACCAGATTAACCTTAATAACTCATTAACAAAAATTCAAGCCTGGTGTTCCCAGTGGGGAATGACATTGAACGCGCGGAAAACCGTAGCCCTAACTTTCACGAATAAGAAAAAACCACTCAAATTTGCTTATACAATAGACAATTTAGAAATTACTAAAAGCGATCAAGTTAAATATTTGGGAGTTACATTAACATCCAACCTTAATTGGGATCCACATATAACTGCTATTTGTTCGAAAGCGCAAGGTAAATTGGGCTTCCTAAAGAGAAAACTCCGTAACACTCCTCCTGCAGTAAAGCTAACCGCCTATAAGACCCTGATTAGACCTGCACTAGAATACGCCGATATAATTTGGAGTCCACATCATAAATTTCTCATTAGTAAAATTGAGCGAGTGCAAAACTTAGCAGTTCGATTTGTGTTTTC